GAAAGGCAGAAAGGCCTCCCAGGTCACATGGTGGGTCAGCGGTCCAGTGGAACCTAGGCTCTTGGAACAGAACAAATCTTGAGACGGTTGTACGTGCCTATAATCCCAGCATTCAGGTGGGAGGCAGAGGTAAAAGGATGGCTTCAAGTTCGAGGCAATCCTGGACATTGTAAAAAAGAAAGCAATAATAATAATAGAAAAAATAAAAGGAGATACCTGGAGTCAGGGTGCCTTTTAACTGACCAGAGTACAGTCTGGCGAGGTGGCTGCTGTCCTGTCCCCTCAGCACCCCCAGTAGCTCTCATTGTCATGGGAAGAATGTTGGCCCAGGTCACACTGGGCAGAGGCTAGTGTTCCTGAGCTTTGAGGAGACAGCTTGAAATAGACAGGGGGTGTCGCATTTCTGAGCAGGAGGGGCAGGGAACCGACAGTATAAAGAGAAAGCCACCTCCCTGCCTCTCTGTCGCAGGAGACCAGGCCCGCTTTGCCCACCATGGAGAAGGCTAGGTAAGGGACACCTCACTTCCCGCAGAGGGAGCAGGGAAGGAACTATTTGATAGAAAAGTTAGGAGGGATTGGTGAAGTTTTAGGGACCTTTGGATGGAATGGTTGAGAACACCTAGGAAGGTTTGGGATTTTAAGAATTGACTTGGGGCCATAGTCCCAAAAGGAACTGCTGAGTGAGGAAGAGGGAAACTGAGGACTGTGGGACACAGGGTGAAGGGAAGTGCAGCTTCCTCAACTGTGAAAAGGGATTTCTAAGCCAAATTCAGCTCTCTCATACCAGAGACTAAGTTAGAGGGCAACCTGGGCTACCAAACAAGATCTTGTTTCAAAAAAAAATATAAAAAACGGGGAGAGGGAATTCCCAGTGTACCAGAACAATCTCTGTAGTCCCTGCTGTGCTCCCTTGATCCCCCACACTGGTCACCAAGGGCAGCAATCTACTTCCTCTGAGGTGCTCTGTCTTGTTAGCAGTGCTCAGAAAGACCCTTGGGCTTGTCTACCAGAGACTTGGAGGTCTTCCATCACAGACAGTATAGAAAAAAGATAGAGCCAACTGTAGACATGAGGGTGTGGTGGACACAGGCAAGTGCTGGCGACTGCAGCGGAGCCAGAACTGACAGACAGGGCGCTGGTGTCCTTACAAGGGAAGAGGCAGGCTTCCACTGATCGTTCAGGATGGCTGACTGGGGTCATGGAGGGCACAGTAGCTGAAGCTGTGGGACCCGAGGCTGCGGTGAAGCTGCTGTGTAACCTCTGAGCGTGGAGGGCAGACACATGTGCCTTCACTGCGACAGAACCTGCCCCGAAGGGGAAGACTGACACCAGTCTTTCCCAGTCAGCCCAGCCGCCCGGCTGGCATCCGCTGCCTGGTTCTGGGATGAGCCTTCAGGATATGGAAGGGGCTATTGCTGGTGCCTGCACAGGGCAGGGGTTGTGGGGGAGAGATAGGCTCAGGAGAGGACTACCCAGGGCATTCTGGGAGCTTTCTGAAAGAGGGGAGCCCTGAGCTAACCCTGGAAGAGTGGGTGGTCAGAGCATAGCTGAGGGCAGGGGAGACAGTTGTGTCTCCCTGGAACTTTGTTCCTCCTAGGTTCCTGGACTATAGAAGCCGAGAAGGGACTAGAAAGCTCTCAGGGGCAAGGTCACTGAGCAGATCAAAAACCAGAATAAGGTTGGACTGTCCTGAAGGCATAGAGGGATGTTTTCCTTCATTTTGCTGCTTTGTTTTAGGCAGGGTCTTGGGTATTCCAATGTGGGCTGGAACTCACTGTGCAGCCTTCAGCTCCTGACCCTCCCTCCTGAGAACCTGGATTTCAGGCATGGGCTATTGTGCTTGGCTTCTAGGAGGCATTGGGAACCGTATGATGCTGAGTCCGCTCGGCTTTTTTTTTCCCCCCTTTGGTTTAAAAGAATGACTGGGCAGTGGTGGCAGAAAGAGGTGAATCTGTGAATCTGGGGCCAGCCTGGTCTAAAAGAGTGAGTTCTAGGACAGCACAAAACAACCACAAAGAAAAGGATATGTTATGAGCTTTTCTCTCATAATCCTTTTTCTCGCTACCTTGAGATATTTCTTCCAGTCAGTTTTGGCACCGAAGTTTTTTTAGTATTTTATTTTTTAATTATGCATATATTTGTGTGTCTGTATGTAGGTATGTGCTCCTGAGAGCTGATACTCACCAAGTCCGGAAGCATCAGATCCTCCTACAGCCAGAGTTCATGAGCCACCCTGGTGTGGGTGCTGGAAACTGAACTGATGCCCTCTGCAAGAACAGTCTGTCCTTTTACGTGCTCAGCCCTCTCCCCACTCCCATACAGGGCTTCCAGCAGGCAGAGGTGGTAGGCAGGCCTGGGCTTTGCTGTCCCTGCTCCGTGCTGAGTGCACTGGTAAAGTGATGGGGGACAGCCAAAAGCAAGCGGAGCAGGGATGTGGGCCCCGACAAAGATGGGAGGCAACTGCAGCCATGTATGGATACCCACGTGACCATCCGGAGAGGCTGGGTGCTAATGGTGATAGGGTACCGCATGAGTGTCTTCTGCTGGCATGCACACTGGATGGATACCCACGTGACCAGCCAGAGCGGCTGGGTGCTAATGGTGATAGGTTACTGCATGAGTGTCTTCTGCTGGCATGCGCACAGGAGCTACCCAAAGCTGGATTAAGCCTAAAGGATGATATCAAAGGGTTCCAGGGTTCACACTGAGCCCGAGGGCTGGAAGCAAAGAACCTCATGAAACCTCAGAGCCTGGCTCTTTCTAAACCAAGGTTCACTTCCCAGCTTCTCTTAGTTTCTCCAACCCATCCTCCCTGAGAGCTCATTTCTCCCCGACTTCAACATCAATGATACAAATTACTCTCCTGGGGGTTTGTTTTATTTTTGTTTTTGAGCCAGGCGGTGGTGGTGCATGCCGTTAATACCAGCACTCAGGAGGCAGAGGCAGGAGGATCTCCGTGAGTTCGAGGCCAGCCTGGTCTACAAGAGCTAGTTCCAGAACAGGCACCAAAAACTAGAGAGAAACCCTGTCTCAAAAATTAAAAAAATAGCCGGGCGGTGGTGGCGCAGGTCTTTAATCCCAGCACTCGGGAGGTAGAGGCACACCTGTTTCTGTCTCCCAACTGTGCCAGGCACTGTAGGACAGATGACAATAAAGTACAAAAGAAAGCTCTCTGGTGGCCACACAGCAGACACACATTTCCAGACCACTCAAATGAAAGTTAAAAAGCCGGTAGGCCAGGCATGGGGTATGCCTGTAATCTAAACTCTCAGAAGGTGGAGGCCTTCTCAGTTACTCAGCAAGTTTGAGGCCAGTCTAGGTTATAGGAGACCCTGTCTCAAAAAGCAAAACCAACAACCAACAGATGCAATCCAGAACAAAGCAGTCTAGCAAAGCAATCATTGATAGCACTGACGAAGACGCATCCCTTAAGTGGTGGGAGGGCAAACTGGTTCCTTTCTGAATCATAGTTTGGCAAGGCCTATTAATATAAAATATATTCCACCTCTGTGTGGTGGTGCACACCTGTAATCCCAGCACTCAGGAAGTAGAAGCTGGCAGATCACTTGGAACTGGACTTACACAGTGTAACAACAAGCTCACAGCAGCCAGCTAGAACACGCCTCAAAGCAAACCAAACATTAGGGAAAAAGTCCATGTGCTCTTTCAGTGGTTTAACTATCCCATCAAACACTCCATATGGCCATTGTAATGAGCAAGGTAGCTAGCAGGACGCTCACTTGGCAGGAAGCCTCTGAGGTACAGTTCCTCAGAGCGATATATTTATAGGATGTGTTATATGTAAGCATTTTTTTCTTTGAAAAAAAAAAGACAAGAAATCCAAGACATTCACCTAAAACGTTGTGTGTGTCCTATATGTGTATTTATTTATTTATTTATTTATTTTAACATTTTTATGGTTTATTTAACTTTATTTTATGTGCATTGGTGTGAAGTGTCAGATCCCCTGAAACTGATCTTCAGACAGTTGTGAGCTGCCATGTGGGTGCTGGGAATTGAACCCGGGTCCTCTGGAAGAGCAATCTGTGCTCTTAACCACTGAGCCATCTCTCCAGCCCCCATATGTATATTTAACATGTGTATTAACATGTTACTCAGGCTCAGTGGGAGAGTGCTTGTCAACTCACACCAGGCTCTGGACTTGACCTCTAGTATCGCAAAGAAACAGCTAATTATACTGTTCAAATATTTCCTGAGGCCGGGCGGTGGTGGCGCACACCTTTAATCCCAGCACTCAGGAGGCAGAGGCAGGCGGATCCCTGGGAGTTTGAGGCCAGCCTGGTCTACAAGCTAGTTCCGGGACAGACACCAAAGCTACAGAGAAACCCTGTCTCAAAAAAACAAAAACAAAAAATATATTTCCTGAGAAAGGCACTGAGAGACACATGGTTGCCGGCCTCTCCTTCCCGAGAGCAGGGCTGTGTGAGCAGGGCTGTGTGAGCAGGGCTGTGTGAGCAGGGATGTGTGAGCAGGGATGTGTGAGCTGGACTGGGTGAGCAGGGCTGGGTGAGCAGGGATGTGTGAGCAGGGCTGTGTGAGCAGGGATGTGTGAGCAGGGCTGTGTGAGCAGGGCTGTGTGAGCAAGGCTGTGTGAGCTGGACTGGGTGAGCAGGGATGTGTGAGCAGGGCTGTGTGAGCAGGGATGTGTGAGCTGGACTGGGTGAGCAGGGATGTGTGAGCAGGGATGTGTGAGCTGGACTGGGTGAGCAGGGATGTGTGAGCAGGGATGTGTGAGCAGGGATGTGTGTGCTGGACTGGGTGAGCAGGGCTGTGTGAGCAAGGATGTGTGAGCTGGACTGGGTAAGCAGGGATGTGTGAGCAGGGATGTGTGAGCAGGGATGTGTGAGCTGGACTGGGTGAGCAGGAATGTGTGAGCAGGGATGTGTGAGCAGGACTGGGTGAGCAGAGAGAGGGAGGATCCATACACTGCCCTTCCTACGCCAGCGTTACTCTGTAAGCAAACACATCTGTCTTACTCTGCAATAAGATAAGAGGGAGTCCATGTCCACTATGCCTGCATTGAAGAAGTGGAAGCAGGAGGGTCAAAGATTGAAGGGCATCCGGCACAGTGACCAGTTCCAGGTCAGCACAGGTATATGAAACCCTGTTTAACGCAAACAAACATAGACAGACGGAAAAGGGACAACAGACCATGCAGCTGCAGCGTTTGTTGTTCCTTCTGAGAGCCACTGTGGGTTGGTGTGACCACCTCTGGGGGCGCCAGAGCTGTGTCACTCCTCCACCCATTTGTCCAAAAGACATCCTGGGTCTGGTAATGCTCAATTAACAAGCCACTTTTCCAGATGAGGAAAAAGAGACAGCAGCTTGCCCAGGTCACCTCCAACATGAAGATTCCAGCCATGATGTCTCTCTTCCTGGTGTCTGTGGGCCTCTGGGATGAACTTCAGGTATGTGCACCCTCCACGGACCTGCTGGCCTATCTAACCCTGGGAAGAACAGAGGGGAGAATGCCCAGTGCTCCTGGGGAAGCCAGCTGTCCTCCTAGGAGACTCCTGAAAACCTAGTCTTGGAGAGCTTGCAGCTGGTGGTCCCCAGTCTCCTTCCTCTCTAGGGGTTCTTTCTGGTTTTCTCAGTAGACAGGCCCTCAGAGCAGGGCAAAGCAGGATGACAGAGTTCCCATTTTCCTAGGGACCACCCTCTCAGTCCTTGGTGCTCTCCTACCCTCAGGTTCAAAGTCACTCCATGACACAACTAGACATCTTTTCTCAAGAAACACCCCTGGACATGGCCCCAGCGTCCTTTGATGACCAGTATGTTGGCTGTGCAGCAGATATGATAGCGGCTCTGGCTGACCTCAACCACTCAGAGTTCCAGACCAACAAAGTGTACGCGAATGGTTGGGCTCTGGCCAACACCCAGTGGCAGGAGCGCAGGGCCTGGGAGTCAGCTTGGGACCTCAGCCCAACCATTTTTCCTCCACCACCCTCGGGCTTCAGGGATGAGCACGGGGTGGCGCTCCTGGCCTACACTGCCAACAGCCCCCTGCACAAGGAGTTTAACGCGGCTGTGCGCGAGGCCGGCCGCTCCCGGGCCCACTACCTCCACCACTTCTCCTTCAAGACCCTCCACTTCCTGCTCACCGAGGCCCTGCAGCTGCTCGGGAGCCAGCGATCTCGCGGGTGCCGGCAGGTGTACAGGGGGGTGCATGGCCTGCACTTCCGGCCAGCCGGGCCCGGCGCCACCGTCAGGCTGGGGGGCTTTGCTTCTGCGTCCCTCAAGAACGTTGCCGCCCAGCAATTTGGCGAGGACACCTTCTTTGGTATCTGGACCTGCCTCGGGGCCCCGATTGGGGGTTACTCCTTTTTCCCCGGCGAGGAGGAGGTGCTGATCCCCCCTTTTGAGACTTTCCAGGTGATCAATTCCAGCCGACCTGCCCAAGGTCCCGCGCGCATCTATCTTCGTGCTCTGGGCAAACGCAGCACCTACAACTGCGAATACATAAAAGGTGAGGAGACCGCAAGGCCAGTCCTAAAAACGACAGGCTTCCCACATCTGCCAGGAGCTTTGGCAAATCCAAGCCCCAACTCCCACCCCAGTCAAGGAGTTCATACGTAAATGATAAAAGGCTCAAGCACGTGGTGGCTCACACCAGTGATCCCAATGCTCAGCAGGCTGACTCCTAGGCAGCCAACGGGAACACAGACAAGGGGAACACAGGCACGTACAGTACAGGTATGGAGGAGAGGAGGCCTGGGCCTTTGAAGAGACAGACAGGTTGTTGTCCCAGCTGGAAGCTGGAAAGGAATTAATAATCTAGTCACAGTATTGGCACCAAGGCATTTGTAGGCAGAGCTAAGTAAAAGGGGAACATGGAGATGGCTCAGCCGCTACAGAAGTTTTATCCTGAAAGCCTGACTTCTTCAGTTCATTCCTCAGAACCCATCTGAAGATTGAAGGGGAGAACTGGCGCCAAGGGCCGTCTCCGACTTTCACATACCTGGGAAGCACCCCTCCTCCATCTCTCACACACCAATATAAATAAAATTTAAGGGGAAGCCGGGCGGTGGTGGCGCATGCCTTTAATCCCAGCACTCGGGAGGCAGAGGCAGTCGGATCACTGTGAGTTCGAGGCCAGCCTGGTCTAGAAAGAGCTAGTGCCAGGACAGGAACCAAAAGCTACGGAGAAACCCTGTCTCGAAAAATTAAAAAAAAAAAAAAAATTTAAGGGGAAAAAAATGAGTAAAAATCACAGCCTCAGTTTTTAAGAGGCGCAGTTTTACCAGATCGAATGGGAATTATATGCAGTAGCCTGTGCCGGGCAGGGTGGGGAACCAACAGCCAGAGGATATGGCGCCGCCCTGTGGTCAGGAGCACATCAGCTGTTCCTCCTCCTTCCCGGGCCATTGTCACATCAGAGGAGGAACAAGGAGACCTGTCCTTAACCCCTGCTGCTTTCTGGACTACTGCCCCTAGCTAAGTGAGACCTCGCTTTCCTAGTTCAGAGGCAGACAGTTGGCCTGCACGGTAACCATGGCGGAAACGGGAGGAGACCCATTGTGGCTCAGTTTCTACTTTAAACAGCATCGTGAGCCATGAGGAAGGCAGTACCTCTCTGTCTGGGACAGGGTGAAGGAAAGTGTGTGGTGAGGAGGCAGTTAGAGGCCAGGGAGCAGGAGTGGGTCAGAATGACACCCTGACTTACATGGCTGCTTCCCTTCTGTCCTCAGAGAGTGCTATCTAGAGAGGCCTCCCTAAGGGAGCGGTTACAGAGAATCAAGGTTGGTCATCAGAACTCTGGGGTTCTTTCCGATCAGAGAGCTGCTGAAGCATTGATTCTCCATCCTTTCTTTCAGAAAAGAAGTGCAGAGCTGGGCCCTGCCGGTTGGATAGCTCAGGTAAGAGATGCAGTTGTCTGAGCAGGCTGTCCCAGGGCTGGACCTTCACTAGACTTTCCTCTGACAAACCCGCCTTGTTACCTAAGAGAGGAGTCACTCGCCCTCACAGAGGGTGTGCACACGTGCCTCTGTGCTCTCAGGGGAGGGCCGCGGTCAGGCCCCAGTTCAGGAGAGGCGGTTCCCTGCTGCGTTCTCCCTGTTACCGTCCTCAGGGCTCCTTCAGACCGGCTTTCCAAGGTCAAAGCCAACTATTGAAAGCTGTGTGCTGTACTCTAGTTTGGGCTCTGACTTAGCTGTTCTTTCCCTCTGCCTCAGTTTCCTAGTTTGTAATAAGCAAGAAGGATCAAAAGATACCTGTATCTCTTTCAGCTGTGAGTCTTCTCTTGTTGTGCAAGGGTATACTTGGACCACTGCATTTTTAGATGGGAATAGGCCACTTCCAAAGAAGTACTAACTGCCCCCCATCTTCCCCCCATCTCCCTCCATCCTTCCTACTCCACCCCCAATCCCTCCCTTTAGGGTCTGTAACCCATGGCAGGGAAGTTCCTCAGCCTCTTCCTTCCACTTGTCCTGACGTCACAGTACCAGGAGTGCCAGGCTCTTGCTGCCACGCGTCCTCAGCACAGTTCAGTGGCATTGGTACACTTTACTATTAGTTATTTTTCAGAGTGGGTTTCTCTGTGCTGCCCTGGCTTGTCTGGAACTGACTTTGTAGACCAGGCTCGCCTGGAACTCTCAGAGATCCACCTGCCTCTGCCTCCTTGGTACTGGGACTAAAGGCGTGTGCCACCTTGTCACTTCTACAGAGGGCAAAAGGTAGCAATCAGTCCTTTGCCACACAGCTAGTGAGGAATCATGTCTGTAGCCTGGCTGCAGAGCTGTGAACTGCTCCCCATGACGGTCCCTAGCCTCTGCCACATAGCCGTCTACCCTCATGTCATAAAGTGAGGCCAGAGACACTTGACCAGAAGCTGGGTCTCCAATTTCAAACCAGACCTTGTTTAGTTTTTGAGACAGGGGAATTTGCTTTGTAGCCCAGGTTGTCCTAGAACTCATGTGTGGTTCAGGCTGGCCTCAAATGGGCTCAGCCTCCTAAGTCCTTAGCTCTTGCCTTAGCCTCCTGAGTGCTAGAATTCTGGCCAAGCAGACCACTGTGTCTCTCGTGGGTCTCTGCACTCAGATGGTCATCATCCGAGGCACTGGGGAAGTTTAGATATTTTGTCTCCATATTTCTACCCATTGCTACTCTGACGAGGGCGTGGATGGGGGAGCCAGATTCAACACTGATGAGAGCCCACAAGTGTTATACAGTAAATATACAGCTGACAGATCTGCTGGACTAATCCACGGGAGTATACGCTCCATACGGAGAACCCGACCCACAAAGCTTTGAGAACACTGTCGATTCTGCAGAAATCTTCTGAAATTGTGATGTTTCTCCCTTCTATTATGGGATTCACTCCAGAATATCTCAGCAGTGTATAAATTACTCTTTTTTGTTTTTGTTTTAAATTTATTTATTATGTATACAGTGTTCTGTCTGCATGTATGTCTGCAGGCCAGAAGAGGGCACCAGCTCTCATTACAGATGGTTGTGAGCCACCATGTGGTTGCTGGGGATTGAACTCAGGACCTCTGGAAGAGCAAGCAGTGCTCTTAATCACTGATCCATCCCATAAATCACTCTTTAAACCTGACTTTTTGTGTACTGGGAACTGTATGCCTTTTCCCACACTATGGGGCCCTGGGGTGAGAGCCTTCACTCTCTCAAACCTTTGTTCAAATAGTAAAGTCTACATAAAACTAGACCCCACAATTGTCCTTATTTACAGAACTCATTGACAAGAAAGGAGCCCTGAGCAGGAGGCACTGAGCAGAGAGACAGCAGGTCTGCCCTTACTCATAAACAGGTCTGGGTGGCCCTGAATTCTCTAGCAGCAGACTCAGGAAGGTGTAATCTACTGGCCTTTTGCTCTAACCTAACAAGTTATTAATATTCTGTATCTAGCCTTCACCTTGGTTTCAATTAACATAAGATCATAGCCCAGGAAATTAATTGTTTATTATTCTAACCCTAGAGATACAGGAAAAAGGCTTGAGTTGCTGCATCAGCCTCAGAGAAAGAAATTAATTCTCATCTGGGTGAAGACAAGCACTCTGTTGGAGCTGGAAGCCGAATTTCCAAAGAAATTCTCTTTAACTCAGCTAGCTAGACCTGAAGCAAATCAAGCACTTTTTGCTTTTGTCCCAGGCTCACAGGTTACTATGGTTACCAGACCTGTGTTCCCAGACACCAGGGAAGGAAGCAAAAGTGTTCCAAAGGTGCAACAGCACTGTTACATTTTCTACAATTATTGCTCACAAACTTCTAGCTTAACTATTTACATTTAAGAAATATAGTTGGGGCCGGGCGGTGGTGGCGCACGCCTTTAATCCCAGCACTCAGGAGTCAGAGGCAGGCAGATCTCTGTGAGTCTGAGGCCAACCTTGTCTACAGAGCGAGCTCCAGGCTCTAAAGCTACAGAGAAACCCTGTCTCAAAAAACAAAAACAAACAAAAGAAATATAGTCAGTGCATGAAAACTTCTTTTTAGAATTTTCTATTGATTTTTCTTTTTGGTTTTTCAAGACAAGGTTTCTCTGTAGCTTTGGAGCCTGTCCTGTAACTAGCTTTTGTAGACCAGGCTGGCCTAGAACTCACAGGGATCCACCTGCCTCTGCCTCCCAAGTGCTGGGATTAAAGGTTTGTGCCACTACCATCCGGCTTTGTATTGATTTTTTTTTTTTTTTTTGGTTTTTCGAGACAGGGTTTCTCTGTAGCTTTGGAGCCTGTCCTGGAACTCCCTTTGTAGACCAGGCTGGGCTCGAACTCACAGAGATCCGCCTGCCTCAGCCTCCCGAGTGCTGGGATTAAAGGCGTGTGCCACCACCGCCCGGCTTTTGTATTGATTATACAATAAAAAAAATAAATAAATAAAAGATTATACAATAAAAAAAATAAATTATACAATTTATAAAAAAATATATAATAAATAAAATTTTTATAAATTTTATAAATTTTTTATATATAAAAAAGATTATACAATAAAAAAATAAATAAATAAAAGATAAAATAAATAAAAAAATTAAAAAAAGATTTATTTATTATGCATACAATGTTCTGTTAACATATATACACCAGAAGAGGCACCAGATCTCATTATAGATGGTTGTGAGCCACCATGTGGTTGCTGGGAGTTGAACTCAGGACCTCTGGAAGAGCAGCTAGTGCTCTTAACCTCTGAGCCATCTCTCCAGCCCCTTGTATTGATTCTTGATCAATCCTCCCAGCATCAGCTGGAGAGCTTTGCAGCCACGCCCCCTGAGACCCAAGGCATCTACTTGCCAGGTCCACCTGGTTGTTGTGATGCGGTGAAATACGTGCTTGTTAACTGTCTGTATATAAACTGGAAAGCATGTGGGATGGGCAGAACAGCGAGCAACGGTGGGAAGCATCAGGAGAGCGCTGAAGAGAGCGCGGAAGAATGAAGATAACAAGACTTGGGGGAGCTCATTTATTTACCCTCAGATAGCTTTAGCTAGTTTCCACCAGCTACAGCAATCCTTCTGAACCCTGAGGAGTTCCAACATGAACCTTGATGCAACATCACTAGATCTCTCTCAGATCTCTGTCTCGAGGCTCATCTGCAGTGACAGCAGGTGGCAGGGGCGAGAGCCCCTGGTCTCTCACCCCTGCCTCTGGCTGCTTTCCAGCTCGCTCTGCCAGACTCTCTGCCTCTCATCAGCCCTCACACTGCTCCTAACCTCTCTTCTCCTCCCTTAGCTCCAGGCTCCGTCTCTGCCTCCTGTTCCCTCCTGCTGCTGCTCTTGTTCCTTGTGCTGAGGGACCATCCATAGGACCCAGGTCTCCTGTGACCTACCAGATGTTGACCGGCCCTGCCTGTGCACTTTACCTGTCTCAGGATCATGGTGAATCAGTCTCTGCAGGGAAGCCTGGGCCTTCTATGGCAATGACCTTCCAGATGCATTGGCGGTGGAGACACAGAGAGGATTTGGAGACTGAACCTTGCTCAGGCTGTAGGAGCAGGACTAACTGAGGTCAGAAGACTCTAGGGTAGAATAGGCAGAGACTCATTTGGAACCTGAAGACATCAACTCCTTGTTGGTGATGATGGGGGAGAATCCCTGGCCATGGGCCATGCAGGGGTCACTTAAATGTCCCTCATGTCTACCTGGAAAGTTCTTGTTCACCCTCCTGCCACCTGGCTAGGTTAGAGTACCTGCCTTTCTATTCTATTTTTGCTGGCCCCTGAGTATTCCCAGGTCAGGCTATGAGCTACCTTTTCTTTTTTTCTTTTTCTTTTTTTTTTTTTGAGACAGGGTTTCTCTGTGGCTTTGGAGCCTGTCCTGGAACTAGCTCTTGTAGACCAGGCTGGCCTTGAACTCACAGATATCTGCCTGCCTCTGCCCCCCCGAGTGCTGGGATTAAAAGTGTGTGCCACCACCTGGCCTCAGGCTGTGAGTTTCTTATGGGTATGGTCTGGGAAGAAGACACAAAGAAAGTGCCAGAAGCTGTGTGACAGTAAGAAAGCAACCAATCCTGTGAGTGGGGACACCTGTACTCCACCTACCTGGGCTACCGATGAGCTCTCTAAACGTCACTGTGTGAGAACAGGTGGCTGTGGCTAACTATAAGGAGGGACAGAAGGGGAAATGACAGAAAGGTTTAGGCTCTTTCTCAGGGTCCTGTGAAATCCTAATCACTTTTTTTTTGCTACTGTTGTTCCCAGAAAAGTAATTTCTTGGCTAGCAAGATGGTTCAGCAAGTAAGGGTGCTTGTTACTAAAGCTGACAACTTGAGTCTGAACCCTGGGTCCCATATGGCAAAGGGAGAGAACCAACTACCCACATTGTTCTCTCACCTCTACAAATGTACCCTGGTGCAAGAGCACGCACACACACACACACACACACACACACAAATATGATTTTTAAAAAAGATATATTTTTTGCATTGATCTGTGTGTCCTAAGATTCCTACCTATGAAGACAAACCTGGATCCCCAACTTCTGGATGTGGCCCCAAGGAGAAGACGAGACATGGAGGAGGTGCTGGGCACACTCTCATTTATTATCTATTGAAGCTCTGGAATAAAAGTTTATATTGCCTTCTGTTCCGGACACTAGACCATGAATTTCTATCCCCTAGAGCCTTCGCAGAGATGAGCAGGATGAGCATCTGCAGCTGCTAAGGATGACATGCACATGTGTGCCTTTGTCCCTTAGCAAGTAGTCTACACTCTAGCTGGGAGTGGTAGCACCTGCCAGCAAGTGCCTTTGGAGAGGCAGAGGCAGTGGGTCTATGTGAATCCAAGGCCAGCCTGGGCTACATAGCAAGCTTCAGGCCAGCAGGAGGTACCTAGTAGTACTCTGTCTCAACAAAATAAAAACCCGAATTTGCCCTGCTAACAGCTATAATTCCAAGTGTAGACATGGGTGGTTATTTATTTCTTAGACAAAGTTTTCTGAAGCTCAGGTTGCCCTTGAATTTATGGAAATCCTCCTGTCTCAGCCTCTATGTGCTGGGATTACAGGGGTACACCATCTTGCTCAGCTGTCATTGAATCCTATTTCCAAGTCTGCACGTTGACCTGAATCATATTGGAGGGAAGGGAGAAAGAGACTTTGGATCCCCTCAGTGAGGGCACACAGGTCAGAAGTGCTGGTCCTGAGAGGTGTTCCTGACTTTGAGCAGCACTCTGAGTACCAACAACCACCCGGGTTTTGTGATTCCTATCTGGTGGTGTTGAGGTGACCAAGCTCCCTAAGATCCAGTTCCTGGCCCTCACAGGGCTTGGACCAGAACCAGGAGGCTCATGACCAGAGCCATGCAGAAGAAGATGCCTAGGAAAAAGCGGTCCATCACCCGAGCCAGGCGCTTCCAGTCTTCGTGGCAGCGCTGGGCAGCCCGATGGCTGCAGAAGGTGCTGGCAATGGAAGCCACATGATGCAGAAGGGCTTCCTGATGGCACAGACACCATGGCTCATGACAAGGGCCTGCTGGGAGACCTTCTGGAGGCTGGAGGCTGGGGGCTGACTGCAGTGACTTGGACTGCCCGCAAGGCTCCCCTCGTTCCCGCACACACAGGCCTCTGGCCAGGTGTCCCAGCAGGAGAACCCGAGCCCAGGCAGGCACTGGGTTTGCACTAGGGCCACAGTAATGCAGATTCATGATGAGGATGGTGAGGGCTGTGGAGAATGTGACCATGGTCATGGTGGCCATGTAGTACTTCCCTGTGGGGCAGAGAACGTTGTGAGCCACGAAGAGGAGGTGAACTCTGTTGAGCTTTCCAGCTGCCTCATCATAAAAAGAAAGAAGGCCAGCATCATGCCTTCAAACCCAAAGAGGGGAAAGATGTAGATAAGAGTTAAGTTCTCCCCACGTCTCATATCTACTAGGGCTCTGAAGCTATCTGCTACCTAATTATTTCCCCTGTTGCAGGGTCAGATTATGGTTGTAAACTGAACAGATACTGATCCTTTCCGAACACCTGGAATAACCTATTGGTTACTCATGGGTTCATAGTGATGCCCCTGCGAGTGAAAAATGTCACGTGCACAGGAGCATGCCAGGCACACAGCCATCACTCGCCACAGTTTGCTATGACACTGGGACCAGTTCTTCCGCCGTCAAGGCTCCCTCGCGCCCCTAGCGGCGAGGGGTGTTCTCTCAGACAGGTCTACTCTTGCTCCCTCTCTGTCCCTGTAAGCTGTCACTCTGCTGACCCAGTGTCCATTCCCCCACGCTCTCAGGCTCACCGATGAGTGGAACGCTCTCCGCGGGAGGCATGCTCTCGGCCAGGATCAGCTGGAAGACGGTGAGCGCCAGGAGCACGGTGACGCCCAGAGACACCTTTTCCCCGGAGTCAGCGGGCAGGTGGAAGGCCAGCGGCGCCAGCAGGGAGATGAACACACAGGGCAGCAGCAGGTTGCACACGTAGGCGGCAGCTCGGCGGCGTAGCAGCAGAGTGAAGGTCACATCCGGGTAGGGCTCGGAGCAGCAGCCATAGGTGAGCACGCGCCTGCGCGCCGGCATACCCAGCACGTGCCACTCAACGTTCTCCACGAAGTCGGCCAGGCTGGCAGACGCGCCCCGGGGTCGCACGTCCAGCTGGTGCCCGCCGTGAGTCCATGAGCCGAAGGTCAGGCCGCAGCGCTGAGCATCGAACGGGAAGGCAGACACATCCACACGGCACGAGCTGCGTGTGATGGCCGGTGCGTCCCAGCGCACCGCGCCGTTATGCCGCACAACCACATTGGTGCTGGCCGAAGCTGGTGGGTGCGTGTCTGCCCTGTGGAGAGGCAGGACAGGAGTCACCGGGGCCCAAGAACTATTGTCACTAGTTGGGCTTTAGTGGTCAGGGCAGCACGGTGGAGTAAGCCTCATCAGGCTCATTAGATTCATTCACTTCAATCTTTGAAGGTCTAGAGGAGGCAGCAACCAAGGGCTTGGAAAGGCCGGAAGCAGAGTATAAAAAGTCTCTGCAAAACCCAGAGGTGGACCTGAGCCTCACTCTGGCCTAGGGAGTCATCTGTAAAACTCATAAGAGGGACCCAGAAAAATGCACAATGCTATGTATTGACTGGGAAATGCAAAAGATCTAAAGATGGAATAAAGGAGTAACCCTAGGATGAGGCCGTACGCCAGTGAGGTCTCCCGTGGTCCCTGAACCTGGAAGGGTGGAGTTGCCACAGAGAAGCACTTGGACCCAAGACAGTTCTCTTCGAGAACTACAACTGGCTTGGATCACATAGTAGACTCCTTACAGACACCCAGCTTGAGTTGGCAGAGACGACTGAAAGTGCCATGGAGTGGCAAAGAGCTCCTTAGAGGGTCCCTTAGGGGCAAGTTTCCAAGGCATCTTAGAAACTCTATTAGGTGTTGGGGGACGAGGGTCAGTGCTTGAGGGGCAGGGCAGACAGGAGGCAATACTTGTTATAGAGAACGATGTCTGGTCGCCACACTAGGCTGCTGGGAATGCGGATTGCATCCAAGTCACCATAGGCTTTGGGGTCCCAGTGCAGATAGGCATCTGTCCACTCCTGCCGGATCCACAGGTACAAGGTCAGCACTTGGTTCCGCTCATCCTAGCAGGGCAGGCAATGAATGTGCCTACTTCATGCACACTCACAGATCTGTCAGTACCCACAAACCCAGCTTGCTCCAACAGCCCGATTCCCTTCCAGGCTTGAACTTGTGTGCTTATGGTGGGCTCTTAAGTCTCCATTTCATCAGTTAATCCCTCAGATAATTCCTGCTTGGGGAGGGGGAGTTGAGTAAATTCCAGTGTGTAAAGTCTTGGGCCACCAATGGTACACAGGAATTAATGGCTATTATCATTATTAGCACATAGGGAAAGGATAAGCAGGAGACGGCCCTTCCCTTGATCTGCAGGCATCCCACAGCTTTACCCCACCACATTATACCATATCGATGATCTGAGACAGTGTCACCTCCAGGGTCACGTTTAGAGTCTGGTCCGTGTCGGCCACAGGTCTCAGGGCACTGGTATAGTTGGCAAACAGGTCACGGAACAGCTTGTGAGCCAGTCTCCCCTCAGCTCCCAGACACTCTGGAAGATGAATGAGGATTGCCCACCTTTGTAGTTCAGGGGCCTCTGTTTCCATTCTCCACCCCCTAGCTGGAGTCTTAGCGCCTGATCCCATGCTCTCACATGCTTTCGGTGGTGTGTGTGTGTGTGTGTGTTGCTCACATGGGCATAGAATTCAAAGGAGGGGACTAGATGTCTGGTTGCCACTTCTACCCTATTCTCTCAAGATGGCAGCTCTCTCACTGAACTTGCTACTTGCCGTTTTTCAGCAGTTCTCCTGACTCAGGTCTCTCCAGCACTGGGGTTACAAGTGTTTGTGCCATACCCGGCTTTTTACATGGCTGCTGCCCACTACCATCACCCCATCTCTTCAGGCAAGTCTCCTTTCTTTTCAGCACCCCCTCCTCGCATTCCCCAGATAGCTTGTTCTTAGCAGACACCGAAGAGGAAGGTGGAGACAGGGAGGTTTGGGGTGGACAGGAAGGGCATCAGTGTCAGAAGAGAGCTGGTTCATACCTGCAGGGAAAAAGAGCAGGAGCAGGAATCCCAGGCCAAGATGGTGGCCCTTGGTCCCCATGGCCTTACCACAGTCAGGACAGATGTAGGACAGCGGGTCCAGCTGGCAGGGACGATGTGTACAGTACCTGGAAACCAGAGATGGAGATCTTGCTTCCAGCCTCCTATTTGTACTTGCCCTTAAGTCTAGACCTGGGCCCTGGCACCTGCCGGTTCTCTGCTGTTCCCAGCCTCTCTGGCCTCAGCTTCTGCCCGTCTGTGTGCCCAGTGACTTCTATTACCTCCGTCTCAATTTGCTTCTTCCTCTGTAATGATCTTGGCCTCTGCCTTTGGACTTTCTTTCCACTCTCTTTTCTTCTCCATTTACAGCCCCCCCCCCTTCCTGCTTACATTCCCCATACCTGGCCTCTGAGAGAGCAAGCCTGCTGCTTTTAGAACAGGGCCAAGCACTCTATCAGCACTAAGGGTCTGAGGCATAGGGGAGTAGCCCTTCTTCCATGGACAGTTTTATTAGCTTAATTGCGGGGCTGGCACAGCAGTGCCCATAGGAACAGAGCAACTGAAACTGACACCCGAGGGTGCTGGGCCCTAAATTATTCAAATTCTGTGCGTCAGCATGAGGGCTCATCCTGGGGGCTGGGAAGTTTGGAGATATTAGGATCTGAAGGTGCACAGCTTTAGGCCTTAGAGGTATGTGTGCTGGGGCCTGTGGGTGAGATTCGCGCATTGCAGTGCAGCTACAGTCATTGATGTCTGGAGGCTCCCTGTACCCCAGCAGCTTTCCTACTGGTGAGCAACTCTGCTGTTCTGTGCTGGGTAAACTCTCCCTCCCCATGGGAGTGGTGCTGAGTCTTACACCACTCCAGATGGCCCTGTGCAGGAGAAATGCAGTGCACTCCATTTTCACAGACCCTGCAGTCATGCCAGGCGGATACAGTCTTCCCATGCCTAACACTGTGGGCAGGTAGGAGGGGTGGTTACAGTTAGGGTTAGGGATTAAGGCTGAGGTAAGAGTAACAATTACGGGCATCACAATCCCAGACTCCAAACTCTACTACAGAGCTACAGAGCTGAAAACAGCCTGGTATTGGCATAAGAACAGACAGGAGGGCCAATGGAACCGAAAAGAAGACCTGGATATCAATCCACACATTTTCGAACACCTAATATTTGATAAAGAAGCAAAAAATATCAAATGGAAGAAAGAATATTTAACAAATGGTGCTGGCATAACTGGATATCAGCATGTAGAAAAATGAAAATAGACCCATATCTATCACCATACACAAAATTCAA